GGAGGGCAATTAATTTTACCGCTTAATTTTTGACACGGAATCCGCTGCTGTATTGATGTGCTCGCCATTTTGGGTCTCATTTTTCAGGGAAATTAATTGACAAAGTGCGAAGATTTATCAGCATATCGCCAGATTAAGCGACAAACTGATGCAATGAGGAAATCAATTGTGGCCCTGTCGCTGTGTTCAACCCTCCTCTACCCCCCGCCCCCCCCTTCCACACTCCCCACAACGCCCAAGAGCCTGGGAAAAGCTGGGTGGGTCAGATGCAGTGCACTTATTTATTTATTTGAGTCGCTCATTCATCAGCCGTTACAAATGACCCTGGCGGCTGACGACCACTGAATCCCCCCCCACCACCACCCACCCCCTCCCTCAGACACGACTGGTGTGTGAGGAGGGAGTGATTAACATAAAAAACACACAAATCAGAGAGGAACAATGAATCCAGTTAGAGGCAGGAGAGGGAGAGCGGAGGTGTTAACTTTTTTTTCTGTTTTTGGGGAGGGGGGCTCTGCATGTCACAAGCAGCAACTCTACCCACCAATGATTCGTTAGGGACTCTTCAATCTTGTTTGTTTGTTGGGTTACAGTCTAGTTATGGGTACAAATGCTAAATATGTCTCGTTGAGTTTGCCTTAATCAAGTGTTTATTGCTGAACCAACCATTTCCTAAGTCCTGCCTCTCTTAGTTACTGTTGCTTTCCCATTCTCACATGGCACATACCCAGTTTACAAAGATAATGGTGGCAGATTTACCACATACATTTTTTGGTCATTTTAAAACAATGGGTTTCAAAAGTCACTTGAAAACAATACGTTGACCTCAGAGAGAGAGAGCTTCTCATTTCTAGCCTGTGGCCGTCAAATGGCTGGCTTAAATGACAACTTTCGTTGGCACATTTCAACAGCTCAGTGAAAATGCCTTATCCAGCTGACTTTAATGTTTCAAGCAGACTTGTTTCAAAGTTTAACGTGTGATATTTCCACATTAAAATGTCTGTACATGACTGGACCTATGTTATAAATTTTGTGGCACTGTGTAATTGCATTATCCCCAATGTTTTCAACAATGTTCAAATCCAGACTAATCTGTAATTTTATCCAAGGTAACTGCACATTTCATTCGGTCGCCTATCAATGGCATCATATTGCTTTTACTTCCTCCAGTTGCTCTAACTTCCAGGGAAACAAAGGAAACACAAGATGATCCGTCAGAGCGTGAGGAGGGAAATCGGGCAGCTATTGTTCTGCTAGCTAACTTTACCTGTGGCTACTTCATTAGAATGAATTGACATAACGTAAATAAACCTGACTCAGCATATCATAAATAAAACTTAAAATACATTTCCTCATCCGTGAACAACTTCTGGCTGAGTCATGTCAGACAGATTTTCATCTGCAATGGTGGTTGTTGAACAATTAAAACAACAACTCCCAAGATCCCACGCAACTTACTGACATCTGCAAAGTAAATCATTTGTCAATGTTTTGATTGAGAAACCCGTAACGGTAAAAATTACACACTGTGCATATAAAACAGGAACCCTTTAAAAGCAAAACTAAACCTGTACGTCCCGGGCATAAAAAGTTCTCATCATCATCAGCTGACAATCCATGTAGTGGAGTAATGAAGAAGCAGCATTGTTCTTGTCATCAGTATAACTAGTTAGTCCTAGTGTTAGAAGAAATGCATGGTCATACCTTTACATTAGGGCTACCTACAATAGCTTACATATTCGAACAAGCAAGACATGTTTGATTTATGCTGTATTGTTTTCATTTTTAAATAGTTCTTTTAATATTATTTCCGGCACGTCCCACTGGTAGGAGGCCCCGAGGCAGACCCAGAACGTGCTGGAGGGATTATATATCTCGTCTGTCCTGGAAACGCCTTGGGGTCCCCCAGGAGGAGCTGGAAAGCACTGCTGGGGAGAGGGACGTCTGGGGTGCTTTGCTTGGCCTGCTGCCCCCTACAACCTGGCCCGGATAAGCGGATGAAAATGAATGGATGGATGGATAGACATCTTACTTTTAACACAACAAGAGAAAAGGCTTTTGGGATGAAGACTAACCAGTGTGTTTTGTGAACGTAAGTTAACCTGCTTGACCCGGGTTGCTGGAGTGTAAGCTTTCCCCAAATCTTACAAAGAACAGGTCAGAGCTGCTAACAATAGCCTTAACTTTGATACAGTCACATCCAGGACCAGCTTCCAGACAGTGGGGAAATAAAACACAGAGGATATTGTCAAGGTTTTATTTAACTACACAAAACAATTTGGTATTAAATGCTCCAGGACGTGGAGTCAAGCTAGTTTGGGTTACTGCTGCAAATAGTATGCTACTTGGCCAAACATGCTAACGTTTGCAGACTATGACATTGTTGTGTTTTTGGTGTGGAAAATCCCTTCACACTTTTTATATACGGTGTATCACTACAGTCCCATTCACAGCGCCTCGACATGTGACGAATTCCAAAGCTTGACAGACGCCGTGCGTACTTAGGGTTGACATTAGCCTTTTGTGGGTGACAATTAACTTGCACGTACGTCTTTTGCATTGTTCATAATGTGTATCTTGTATCTACATCATTTTTTAATGTGTTAACATATTTCTACGTTGTCTCAGTGCTCAACTTCCGCTCAATCTGTCTCAAGTTTCTTTGTTAATCATAACAGTTACATAGAAGCAGTCATTGGCAATAAGATCTTGGATCTCAGGGTACCTCCAACATGGTATTTCAGCATGAGATCACGACACTGACTGCTGTTCCACAGGATTAGAAATGTTGTTTTAAGGGATTATAAGGCAATTATACCCACTTGACAAAGACCAACTCCTTCAAAACTTGCCAGTATGAAGTTCTTGGTAGAGGGATACTTCTTTGAGTTTTTCTTCACCAAGTGACTTTGAATTTTACAGTTCCGAAATAATGAGCTAGATGTGTGTATCATTACACTCAGCTCCAGTACAAACTCCCCAGTTAGTCATCATCCTGTGAGCGTCTGTATAACCCACACACACTCACACACACATACTGTAACTCACATCCCCTCCATTACCGACTGCTCTGTTCCCAGGAAAGATTAGCTCGACTTTAAAATCTCCTACTTATTTTATTAGTATTGCATCTTAGTGCCGTGAAGGAGCCGATTTATAACCTTTAAACAGATCACACACATGCAGATAATTTTTCAGTGTGTCAGGTTGGCTGCTGGAATGTGATTGCAATGATTGTATAGCTGTAGCTAACCGTCCGACCCAGCAGCAATTATAACTGGCAAAGGAGTGTCGGGGGTCACAGCAGAGCAAATTGTGTTAGCTTTTTTTGGGTGTTGCTAATCAAGTCAGGTCCTGTCGCTCACTAAAATGAGGTTGTTTCAGGTTCAATCTCAATTCTCCTATTTTCATATGTTCATACTCGCTCACCCTTGATCTTCCGAGCTCTCTTATTTCATCACTTTCCTGTTTCCATCTCAATCACTTCACTCACTCTCTTCAAGTCTGTGTTTCTTCCTGCTAAATTCACACAAAGACACACACACACACCAACGCACACCACCCTACGCCTCTCCAGGTGACAGCTAGGTGACAGTATGACGCCAGCCGCTTGATGGGGAATGATGAGGGCTGGAAACAAATGAAAATAAAACGTCTAATTATGTCAGAGGCGCCTTGACGTTACATCACTGTTAAAACACATTTAAAATAACATCCAGCAAGTCTTACACTCACACACACACACATACACGCACACACAGCAGGCACCCGTGACGGATGGAGGGCTCTCCTGCAAGCGCTCAGTCAGGCTGTCAGACCACTGGCTGCTGCTGCTTCTGTCATTGACTTAAAAGGGCATCAAGGAGCCGTGTGTGGGACATTACTGAGGCCGAGGGGAAACTGCTGGGCTGCAGCATAAAGACACTTTCAGAGAGGCTGACTTGGGCTCCTATCGAGGGGCTATTATTCAAGACAGTATCCTCCCACCGCCCACCGCACCATCTGTCTATCCAAAGCTTTTAGTAAGTAAAAAAGCACGACTCAGTACAGTCCCACAGTGTACTGTACTGTATGTACGGAAATGAAAGGGAAGGATGGAATCTAAAAGAAAAGGCACTGCACGCATAAAAAATAAAGTATCCACTTTTCTAATACTAAATGTCGTATTTTTTGTCATCACATTACCCTCAAATCAATTGTATTGTATTTTGCATCACAGAGGAACAGACACTGGACCGCTTCAATGTGGGAAAACACACTCTTGAGGATCAGATGGATTTGATGAACACACACTTGCTGACCAGCTGGGTTTTGGGAAAGACACACTTAGTGACCAGATGGATTTGGGGAAATACACATGACAACCAGTTGGATTTGGGGGAACACACACTACCTTAATTCCCTCATCTAGCAACCCTCCAAGTCTGGAGGATGGCAGAAAACAAAAACAAACATGAAATCCAAACATCTTTTTCCTTTGTCTCTTTGGCTATCAATTGCGTCTATTCAGATAGAATTGGCTGATATAACATCGTATAATTGTGGCGGTCCCGCCGGGATCAGGAGGTAAGGGTTTAACCATCCGACAAGAGTGTCTGCGAGACCGCCAAGAACTAGTTCTCGACTTTCTCTGGATGTTGAAAATCAGTACAGATGGACAAGTCATGGCTATTATCGGCCAAAAACGTGTGTATGTTTTTTTTTCCCAAACAAAGCTGTGAAGATTCATAATTAATGTGAGATTTTCACAGTTAACACATAAACTTCATTTTGTTAGATCGTCTACAGCTATAGAAGAGTAAAAAAAAGTACATTCTGTCTGATCCAATTATGTTTCCTGATAAAAAAAAAAACCTTTTGTCTCAAACTCATAAAAACACAATTTGCCTGTAAAAAGCCAATCTCATGAATTTTGCAGTTTAGAGTGCCAGTCAATGAGTTTAGGGAGGCATACTGCAGTGATGCTTCATGGTGGAGGTTACCAGCTCTCATTGTCTCACCTGTGTGTGTCCTGTAGTGGTCCTTCATGGCTGACAGGTTAAGGAAGGCATAGTGGCAGGACGGCCAGGCACACTTATATGGTTTCTCCCCACTGTGCAGTTTCATGTGGTTGTTCAGGGCCCATTTTTCACTGAAGGAGCGGTCGCACAAGTCGCATTCAAACTTCCTGTAGAAGAGAAGAGGCAGACGGGAACGAGAAGGAGGTGGAGGAGGAGGGAGAAAAAACGAAGAGTTATTTACTGATCCCAAAGCTGACGTAAAATGCTAGACAATCTACCCTGTGAGAGAGGAAATGGGGGCTGCTGGGTACTCGCGCTCACACCCACAGAGCACAGGGCCGTATGACTGCGTGCTGTACATCTACGCCCACACTCACACACTCACACATACACACAACACACACAAAATGCAGTTTGCTGCTGGTGTGTCATGTCTGTATAAGCAGGCATTGATTTTTCTGTCCTGGCCTGCCACCTCCACCATTTATTCTCTGCTTTGCACCAGGGCCCAGAGGACTAGAGAAATTCTGTTACAGTCCACACACACACACACTCATACACACCCCGCAGGGCCAGTGGGGAGAATAGAGTTCACCTGTCCAGCGTCCCTGACCACTTAGCCAGGGCTAAATGAACAGTTAGCAACATTTTACCTCCCGCCTCTCTCTTAAGGCTCCTGTATCAGAGCCTCCCTCCATCTTAACCTTTCTACAAACATGTCCATCCGATCTCTGCTCCTGAAATTGGATAGTTAGTATCAATCCAACAAATGCAAAAGCCTGATTTATCTTGTGTGGTGTGTCATCCTCATATATGCTGCCAAAAGCCCTGGTCAGTAGCGTTAAAGATATACATTATAAAGCTTAGAATGCTGTTATCAGCAACTAAACCGGTGCGTTTCATGTATATTAGTTGACTTTGTCATTGGAGGTGGAGGGGATGGTGGAGGGTTTGACATATAGGCGAGGTGGCTACTAAGCTGCAGACCACTTCAGACCACTGTCTGAGACCAACAAACAACACTAGTTGCTCATAAATGAGACATTTCCAGCAGCATTTGTACCCCTAATTGTGGCCATTTTTGGCAGCACACCAAGTTGTCTTCAGCTGTGTTTGTGCCCCTAAACTTATGCGTTTTTTAGCTGTGCTGTTGCCCCCAAACGTGGGGGATTTTTAGTGATGCACCAAGGTGTTTCCGGCAGCATTTGTGCCCCCAAACGTGGGTGCCTTTTAGTGACACACCAAGGCCTTTCCAGCAGCATTTGTAGCTCCAAATGTGGGTGTTCTTAGCGACTCACCGAGGCATCAAAGTGTTTCCAGTGGCCTTTGTTCCCCAAAACGGGTGTTTTTTAGCAGTACACCGAGGTGTTTCCATCATTGTTTGTGCCTCCAAAAGTGAGGGCTTTTTTTAGCGACACATCAAGGCCTTTCCATTGGTGTTTGGGCCCCCAGATGTGGGTGTTTTGTCAGCAACACATAGAGGTGTTTTCAGCCAAGTTTGTGCCCCTAAATGTTGGTGTTATTTTGTGACACATTGAAGCATTTCCAGCAGTGTTGGTGTCCCAAAACTGGTGTTTTTTCGTGACACATTGCACCATTACAGTGCTGTTTGTGCCCCCAAAATGGATGAACATGATCTTTCCCTAACCACAACCAAGTGTTTTTTTTGTACCTAGACATAACCAAACATTAACTGCAGCATTGTTGAAACTTTTGAAAGTTTTGCCAACAGCCGTTTGTGAGGGTGATAACAGTATCCTGAACAGAGTGATAACATTCAAAATAGGTGCTTCTGAGATCACAAATGTGACTATTCTATATGTATAGTGTTCTTTCTTTACTCTGAACATCCTTCTGCTCTTCATACAGACACCTACCACCCAACAATAGCTGTGTTTTTTAGGGGGGGTTTTCACATTGTGTAGGATGTTTGCACCTATATTCATCTGCTGTGTTATTAGGCTTCAAGAAACACACAGAAGTAAAAACAATAGAAAAAGCCTGTGCTTGAATTAATCTTTTACCCCCGCGCTATAATTTAGGCACAGGATGACTAATGTGCGAGTCATAAACAAATGAAGTCGGGTTTTGGGGAGCATTCGTCTTGCAGCGAGGGCCATGTTATTTTAGGGAGGGCGGCTGTCTTTAAGTCCTGATTGTGTCGCTTAATCCCCGTGGTATCTGTTTCATAGCGAGCAGCATGACACTCACCTGAACAAATAATGACTCCAAGCAGCATGTAGCATGTGTCTGAATCAATAATTCAAACTCATACATCTTCCTTACTGGAAGAAGGGGGGGGGGGAAGGAGTATGAGAGGGAGGGAGGGAAAAGAGAGAAAGGAGGGAATTAAAGATGGGAAGCTGGGGAGAGGAAGAGATAGAAAGGAAAATGTGTCCTGGCTTCCATATCAATCTATATGTTCTGTATAGATGAATCTAAATGTGATATGGATGTCATCCGACGCTAGTTGAGGGGACATTTTAAGCTCACTTACCAGGAAGGATGGAGCGGCTTTAAAATGGCGCCTTTATCACCTGGCTCTAAGCTCAAATGCATATTTAAACAGTCCTGTTTTCCTCTCATTTTAATCAACTGACTTGGCAGAGACTTTATTTGACCAACAGATGTATGTCTGCATCTGCATTTCCTTCCCGTTTCCTTCCTCCCTGCGGTATTTATAGAACAGCCCCGTCGCCCGTGCCACCGTGGGAGAGGTAAATAAGATGAGTGAAGAGATGCTATCTTTTATTGTAAGCATTATGCACAACACTCCTGCTTTATGAGCTAAACGGGCCGTTGTTTATCACGGGGCGTAATCGCAAAGTCGGGCAGGCAGGCAGGCAGGCAGGCAGGCAGGCCTTGACGTGGGCACGCGGCATGCTGGGATGGAGGGAAGAATGAGAGAGAAAAATAAGGCAGGAGGAGAGGAGAGAAGATGGAGGAGTCAGGGCTGGCAGAGTTGACTATCAGTGGGGGTTTTGTAAGGATGAGAGGAGGGTTTGCGTCTGTTTTTATGGGATCAGATGGAGCGCTTTGATCTTGTCCCCGCATGTCAGATCCCGTCACGATCCACCGTCTCGCCCATACATATGCATACTGCCTCTAAACAGCCAGGCACCATGCAAAACACACCAAAGGTAGGAGGCAGAGGGAAGACAGATAGAGAGGAAGAGAGAGAGAGAGAGAGAGAGAGAGAGAGAGAGAGAGAGAGAGAGAGAGAGAGAGAGAGAGGGTGAATTTGTGTATGCATGTGTATAATAGAGTGAGAAAGGGAAAGAGAGACAGAAGTAAGAGAGAAAGAGAGGTCTGCCAATTTAAAATATCTGTAGACGTTTTATAATGCTTCCGAGAACTGAATTTAAAACCAACAAAACAACCACAATTAATGCAGAAATGCTGCCAAAGCAACCTGTTTCAGATTCAACATAGCCTGAGAAAGTTCTGAAACTCTTATTTGTTAGGATTTTTGGGATGGAAAGTGTATGCCTATGGCCTCTAATTGTACATAGTAAAGTAAACGATATAAGAAATTGCCTGTTTTGCTTTCAAACCTACATATCGTCGCTGTCTGATGAAAAACACATATCTCCACTTTTGCCGATTTTGACTTTCTGCAGTGCATGGAGTATCCATAATATTCCCTAGCAACTGTTAGCGTTGGGTATCCAAATGACCAATGGAAAACGTTTTATTACATCATCTATTCAACACGTATCTCCATTGGCTGTCAGAAGTGTCCATCAAAGCGCATAGAAAGTCAAAATCGGCAAAAGTGGAGATACGTGTTCTTCATCGGACAACGACGATATGTGAGAATGTGTGCCACACTCCGAAAAGAACATACACATAAATCTATTAACATGATAATGACAATAAAATAACGATGATGATATCATGACAACTGCAGAATCTCTATTTTTAGGGCCTTTAATTATGATACTCTATATTGTTGCACTTTGTTTCAAGAACCAGTCGTCACCCAGGTGTAAGAGAATAATAAAACCACACATCATGACAATTTTAGAAAGAGATGACGGGCTATTAATAACTAACAGGCAACTGAGCTGAGGATCTAAAGTACATTTACATCACATACAACTACTGCTAATGAAAACTGATGCACCGGCAGTGGCGGAATGTAACCAAGGACATTCACTCAAGTACTGCACTTAAGTAAAGCTTTGAGGTACTTTTACTTTACTTGAGTATTACATTTTTTTTTTACTATTTTTTTACTACTTCATACTCCCACCCCTCCACTACATTTATTTTAAAAGAGTAGTTGCAAGTTACTTTGCAGACTCATATTACTAATAGAAATATAATCAACAAATCAACTGATGACATACTGATAAAGATAAAACTTCATTATTTCCTTGGTGAAATTCACAAGCTGTAGTGTGTATATAGTGAAAAGTCAGCCCCACCTTTACCAGCTGTAAAGTTAGAGTGATGTTCACATTATTCCATCAATTGTTATAATTCAATAATACCAGAGCCTATAAAATGTCCTGCATAATAAGTACTTACTTTTTGTTTTCAAGTATACACTGATGCTAATATTTTTGTACTTTTACTTAAGTAAGATTTTGACTGCACGACTTTTACCTGTAACAGCTCTACACTGTTGTATTGCTACTTTTACTTCAGTAAAAAGACCTGAATACTTCTCCCACCACTGTGTATTGGCATGTAAATATTATGCAGCAATTTGCTAGAAAAGTTGTGTGCACATTCATAAAACTTCACTGGAAGAGGTGCTGGAGACAAAACTACAATAGAAAGGTTTGTTTTAACTCGACACAGGTCTGAAGGCAAAAACCCATGTGAAGGAAAATTAGATGTAAAAAAATGATTAAATGGCTGCTGATGTCACAATGACTGAATCACATTCATATGTGCCTAATCACAAGATAAATAAAATATGTTAACAAGAAGGATGATTTTGAGATGTTGCGATTACAGTTGTATCACACAGAGCTGTAATTTCTGTCACATGGGTATATTTCCTGAGGAGGAAGTTTTGTTGAGTTGAAACACAAATAAAAAAGGAGCTCTGTTATGAATGTGTCGTTATCTTTCTATTCACGTACGGATTATAAGCTTTTTTGATAGTTTTTCAGGTCTGAAATTCAAATCATCACTTTTTAGTGTTAAATTACGA